GTCTGTATACCTTATAGAAGCCTTATAGGAGCCCTATATACCCTAAACTCCCCACCTGTAGTTTCCTTCAACGAAATCCCTAGACCCAAAGCCCCTAAGCCCAAAACTGGCCCTGAGCCCTAAACCCTAACGGAAGACGCGGTTTGAGGTTTCGGGTTTAGGGTGTAGGCTGCAATCAGGAAACTTCAAAGGAAAGGACGAAAAAAGCAGCAAGCCCAGGAACTAAACCCTAAACCCCTAAACCCTAAACCCCATGTACGCCCAGGCAGTTGTTGCACCGATCTCTTGGTGGCATTGGATCCCCTGCCCCTCGGAAGACCCACAGGGTTTTAAGGCCTAGGGTTTAGGGTTTAGGGTTTCAGGGTTTACGGTTTAGGTTTAGGGTTTAGGGTTTAGGGCCCTGAATCGGAGCTTCCGACCCAAACGGCTCCAAACATGTATCGTAGAGGCTGAACTCGCGTAGACCGACATGCCCCAAACCATCCGGACACCTGAAACCCAGGTGGTTCCAATTCTAGGCCCCTGAAGCCCCGCAAGCCCAAGCCTATAGTCGAAACCCCGCATTCCACGGTTCAAAGAGTTCAGGGTTTAGGGTTCAGTTCTAAGCATTGCATGGAGGCTTTGCCGAATGTACCCTAAACCCTAAACCCTAAACCCTAAGAGGCTGCAGCTAGTTCTGCTTCCAAGGTTCCAGTTGTTGGAATCGGGTTTTCCATATGAGCGACGGAGCTACCCTGGGCCCTAAACCCCGGGAGCCTCAAAGCGTAAACCCTGAAAAAAGGTAGCCAATGGGAGAAGTTGGCCTTATCTATTTGGTCCACCGTCGAAAGTTTGAAGTAACCCCTGCTCTACGCCGTAAATAAGCCTAAACTCCTTAAAGGAGCCCTGAAATAAACCCTAAACCCTAAACCCTTACAGGAACCCTTAACCTTAACCCTTTGCCCAAGTACCCGGAACCCTGAAAGTGCTAAGGGGATCGGGAACTCGAGGCCTTACCAGTGTAGGGTTTAGGGTTTAGGGCTGATCTTTGGAACTGTGATTTCTTGCCCGGTAGCGCTAGGCTTCAAGGGCCCATATGGTGGGGTTCAGGGCTGAGGGTTTAGGGTAGACTTTTCGACCCAAAGACGATACGAGTTGAGAGTTTTCGGACATGTTGAGGCCTATCTTGAGAGAGGGTCAAGCCTTAGCACACGTTTGGGGTTGCGTGATTTGAAGGTCCACAGCCCCTCGGGAAAGCTGACCCGTCTGGAAATAAGTGAACGCGTCTTCATCCCCCTGAACTCTGAAGATCTTGAGGCATCTTCGTTCCCTGAACGAGCCAAGCAGTCTCCAAACTCCTCAGACTGCACGCACACCTTGGATTCGATTCGAAGCTCCTTGACTTCTCCAACATGGTCAGTCGCGACAAATCCTGCCAACTCCACTAACCCGCCTCGGCGGCCCCCTCCCCACGCTCACACATCGAAATCCTGGACTGCAAGAGTGAACCCCTCAACCCGGAGCCCTCGAGGTATCGGCGGTCGGAGCATGCGGCCTATCCTGGAGCGCATCGATCATGCCGTAAATCAGGCTGAGTGGGGGGAGGCTACAGCTTGCGGTATAGGGTTTGGGATCAAAGCCACTGCAAGCATCACATCCTGCATCTTTGCCGTCATCGTCGTCATCATCATCCTCCTCCTCATCATCATCAACATCATCATCAACATCTTCTTCTTCATCATCATCATCTTCAAAAGGTTGAATGATGAATGCCCGAACTTCCGTGAAGCGTTTAGCCTCCAGGGTTTTGACGCTCACAGGTTCGAGCTTGAAGCTTCTACCATAGGGGCCTAAATACTTAATTACTCTTATTTTTTGGGAAGGTTCCTTACTAAATATTGTGATTATAGTATAAAGGAGCCCAAAGCCCTATCCTAATGATTAAGACCCTATTCAAATCATTCAGGCCCCTACATTAGAGCTCCGGGGATCGGCCCTACGGTCTTGACCTCGGTCTCAAGGCTCATCTCCCGACTACTCTACAGCCCTTAGGGCCGTAGAGCCCTACGGTTGATGATATCAATCCTGCATTACCCATAATAAGAAATATACCATAATTCCCACAGTTTAGGGTCCTTAAGGCAATGCAGGCTTGACATAATCAACAGTATGTGTATGTGTGTGTATAAATAAATAAATAAATAAATATATATATATATATATATGGGGATATGAGGCTTAAACCCTAAACCCTTCACAGTACACATTAAGCTTCCTGAACCCTACAAACTGTCTCTATTGGCGAGGCTTTCGCGCTGGAGGATGGCGCAACATCCGTGCCGACACCAGCGTCGGCGGATCTTCAACTAGCACTCTTTTTTTGGTTAGTTGTAAGCGGGTTTATTAGTGCTTTTCGGCTTCACAGTAGTTGACAAAGGTTTGATTGTGTCCACAGTGCAGGGTTTGGGGAATTGCCAAGGGGGCATATGTTTTTCGTGTACATCTTCATATCGAACTTGGTTTCCAAATCTCGAATCATGCTTGCATGAATGTCGAGCCGCAAACCTTGACTGCTGTAGCATCGGAATTCTGCAGACAGTTGATATGAAGCTCGGAATCATTAACACTGTTATTCCCTTCTAGTCCCTATGACAAAATGTTTGCTCATTGTCGCCCATGCAGTATCAAGGCCCCCTATACCCGTGGCTCGAAGCTGAAACCCTGGATCACCACCGAAGTTTGCTGAGAGCCCTCAAGCTGCTGGCGGCTTTAAGCGTTTGAGTTTGGGGTTCAGGGCTTGGGACTTTGAGTAAAGCATCTAGGGGTTGCCACTCAGATCCTTCTGCTCCCAACACCAAACCCCGAAACCCTGAACCCTAACCCCAAAACCCAGAGACCTAAACCCTAAACCCCGAAACCCTGAAGCTTAAAGTTCGAAAGCCTGCAACCAACCCTGAAAGCAGAAACCCAGAAACCTAAGCCGTAACTGATCCTTCGATAACTTACCTGGTTTTGTGAGGATCCCGACACAAACTTCAACATAAGAACTGTAGGAACTCTACAAAAGCTTAAAAGTATACATAAGTTTCGGCCGGTTAGGGCACCCCCCTAAGAGATACGAGGTACAACGCTGCCGATTTCCTGACAGACCTCCTCAACAATCCGGGTGGCTTCCTCAAGGCCACGTGCGGTACAGTAGGGTTTCGGGCTTCGGCTCTAGATTTTGGGGTGGGTGTTGACCCCTACCAGCCAGAATGCCCTCAAATCCTAAATTCCTAAACCCTAAACCCAAACGGTTTAGGGTTTATAGGGTTTACCCTAAACCGGTTTAGGGTTCAGGATAGAGGGTCCTGGGTTTTCGTCCACTTGGTTTCTACCAGCCTCAATGGTGCACGTACTTGCTTACCCTAAGGGCCCATGTACTCATATAGTACCTATATAGGGACTACATTGAGGCCAAAGTATATACTATTTGGGTACATGGACCCTTAGGGTTAATGAGTTTTGCGTAATTCAGCATTGGTCCTTAAGTTGCTCCTCGTCGTATATGGGTAGTTTTCTAAATTAGGGTCCTTTTTAGGGTCATTATGATAAGGGTGCCGTACTTTATCGGGGACCTAAAAAGGGACCCTATTTTAGAGAACTACCCATATAGGTTGCTGGGCTTGAGGTCTTACGGGTTTTCATGTCTCGCGATGCGGTCCAGGTACCCAACAACCATCTACTCTCCCAAGCCAAAGCTTATCATACATAAGTACGATCCCGCACCCTAAACCCCTAAAGCCTAAATCCTAAACCTAAACCCAAGTACTTTATGATCGGGTCCTTTGGACCCTTAGGGGAAGGGACTGCAAGAGCTGAGGAGCAGGGTTTTGGCATCGAGACTTGGGTTGAGGGAGCATCAGGATATCAGGACGGTTTAGAGGTTTAGAGCTTTAGAATTATTGGGTTTAGGGCCCATGATTGGTCTTGGCTGGGGTTTTAGGGGTTTCGGGTTTAGGGCTTAGGGAACCGAGCATGAAGAGCCCTGGACGGTTTAGGCCTAGGGGGTTTAGGGCTTAGGGTGGTTTTTGGGTGGGTAGAAGAGTTGGTAACCTTTGTGATTCGGTATTTTGGCGGTACTATACTCCGCACGTAATACCAAAAGGTGAAACTTGCGTTATTGTGGGATACTGGACAAGTAAGTTGCAGGGTAGATTCACGCAGGTGGGTTGTCAACAGGCTCATGAGGGCAATAGCTACAAGTGATTCTAGTATATTCTAGCCAGTTTATGACTTCTAGTCGAACCCTAGTAGAACCTTCCGGCAAGAGGTGCGAAGTTTCCGGTGTTCGGATCTAGGATTTCGAGGTGTAGGTGAGACTAGCTGCTGCAAGCAAAGTTATCTAGATGATGGGTTGCTGCGCTTTGGCTTACCAACGACGAGCTTGCATGTAGAATCCTGGCTTGTTGGGGATGTTGGTTCTGAGGGTAAGTGTTTGACAAGCGCGCCAAATTCGAAGCCAGGCCCGAACTATGATGTAAGCCGTAAACCCTAATTCTGTCTGAATCCTTCTGGACCGTACGGTTGATGATATAAATCCTGCGTTGCCCATAATTAATATGGAATATACCATAGTTCTCATAGTGTAGGGTCCTTAAGGTAATGCGGGATTTATATCATCAACAGTAGGTCCAGCATCCTAAACCTTTGCCCATAGATCTTAAGCCCTTACTCCCTTTTCCACGGACCTCCCATCCGAAGCTCTCACTCGCCGAGTTCCGCTCCGCAGCGGTTGGGCCAGCAGTATCATTAGGGTTTAGGGTGTAGGGTTTAGGGTTTAGGGTTTAGGGTTTAGGGGACCTGCAACATTCATCTGAACCACACACTTAGTTGCGTAGATGAAAACGATTCCTGTTCAATGCTCTTCATGAATTACCAGTATCCTACTCAGCGATATCTGTCTTGGTAAATCGAGAGAACTGGGTGTGTCGGTCTTTTCTTTCCTCTAAGGAGGATCAGCAGGATCCCCGCTGTCCGAGATGTCTGCAGGATCCAAGCGGAAAAGAGAGCCCGAGCTGATGGTTGCAGACGAGAATCTGTCTGCGGCATCTGACATGTGGAAGAAATGCTTCGGAAAGGACGGCAACTTCACAGTCATCGTGGAGGAGCTTTCGGGTGAAGCTCACCAGGATACTGAGGGCAAGTTAGCCACAAAGCGTACGGAGTTTAAGGTTTGGTCTTCCCTGCTTGCCCAGTGGTCTCCTGTCTTTGAAAAGATGGTGGGCTCCGACAGCTATGCCGAGTCGCAGAGGGCAGAGGTCGTCATCCAAGACTTCTCGGCCGGCGCTGTTGAGCTGTTCCTGCGCTTCATGTACTCCGGGAGCATTGGGGGCTCCATCGCAGTAGTGGTGGAGGTGGCAGCGCTGGCAGACAAGTACCAGGTCAAGGCTTTGCATGCTTCGTGTCTCCAGATCGTTCGGGATGCCCTCAAGCCTGACATAGCCTGTGAGGTCCTGGCATCTGCTGACCGACTTCACGTGGACGACTTGCGAGCAGCGGCTTTCGATCTCATCCTCATGAAGCCGGAAGCGGCCCTGAAAGAGCGACCCTCCCTCCGGCCGGAGCTCTTGGAAGAGATCCTGGGCTCAGGCCTCCTCTGCGTTTCCGCCGAAGTTTTGCGGAAGACCCTCCGGAGCTGGGGAAGGAAGGACTGCGACTCCCTGGAAGCGGCCATCAACATCCGAGCACATAATGAGTACACGACAGACGCACTGTTCAGACTCTCGACCCACTACGAACATGCCGGGAAGATTGGCATTTTTATGGGCTGTTGGGTGGTAGCAATCGTGGGGCCTGAGCAGGGCAAGGTTATGAACGAGCAAGATCTCAGATCCATAGCGTGCAATGACAAGCCATTCTCGCTTCGAAAAGGGTGGGTGCAGTGGTTCCTTCCCCAAGCCTGGGTTCACCTTTTGGGCTTTTCCTTCGAAGATTCATCAGATTATGACTATGATGGGGAGATCAAGGCATCATCCGCGGTATCTTTCCTGATCTGGTCTTCCGCAGATGGCGCTTCGTGGCACCTCACGTTGGAGTCGCACAAGAGAGAGATATATAGTAGCACCTTCATGCATTGCAAGAGACCTCCGACCCTGGTGAAGTACTTTAAGCTGGAAGTCCTGGAGGGCGAGCTTGTCAACATCTATTTCAACATCCACGGTATCTTGCAGACATCCATCGTCCGTCCTAGCTGATTGCGACAGAGATATGAGATAGGGATTGAACACGATGCCAGCTGTCGCCCCCCAGGAAAAACCCGACACTGTTCCGTTGAGCATTGAAGCTTGGGCAGAGGGTTGCGACGAAGCAGAGGTTCGTGAGGGTATCGGTTGTCTATGGGTTTAATGGCGAGCTCTCATCCCGAAGTCAGCATCAGCTTGCCGGTCGAGTTCATACATGATGATCGTTCATGTTTGGTAGGAAGCGCTGCAGCCACACGTCTGTCACTCTGTGTGGCACTGATACAGCGAAACACCTCTCTGCCTAGCCCCAACGGCTGCCGGTTCGCGAGGGGGGGGGGGGGTAGTAGGGTGTGGAATATGGGTGTTTATTTGAGGGTCGCCGGCGGGCCGTGTGGCTTCTTCATCAGATGAGTGCATTATAGGGATTACCTGATTACCAGAAGGGTTACTGTAAGGGTGATGCTCAGGTGAACGATATTATGGATTGCTACAACTTCCGATGGATTTCAGACAACCCTGTAACATTGATCAGGTGGGCAGCTGGGCTCTTGGGGTACCAAGCATGTGTTATGGGCTTAGGATTCAGGAGTTAGGGTTTAGGGTTTAGGGGCTCAGGCCGTAGGTATGACCCCACAGTTACACGCTATAGCCGTTAGAGCAGTAGTTGTGATTGGTCGCGTAAACGCCTCAAAGTCTTGTCTTGAGGAAGGCGATGAAACGGCCAAACCAGTCTTCCACTGCCTCCAACCCTAAACGCCCTAAGGCCTAAGCCCCAGCAACTTCCAAACACCAAGCCTTAACCACCAACAACTCCTTAAACCCCTTCAAACGCTAAAACCCTTAACCCCGACATCTCAAGTTGAAAACCCCCTTCGGAGGTTGTAGAAACCTCTTAATATCGTAACCCTCACATATTCACCTTCATAGTACCCCATATGGCAATCCCTATAACAAACCCTCGTAGTGGCCCTTAAAGCAGCCCTTCTCGAACCCTGAAAGGGCCAGCAAAGCCCTGTTGGAGGTTGGGGGCACGGACGACCCTGCAGAATACCCGCCATTCGAGCCTTGGCAGCCTAGGGAAGTTCCTTTCAGGGATCCTTTGGGTTTAGGGTTTAGGGTTTGGGGCTCAGGGTTTAGATCCTTAAGGGGTTCCTTTAAGGGTTGCTTTAAAGGGCTCCTGTCAGGAATCCTTTAAGGGTGTCCTTAGAGGATCCTGTGAGGGTGCCTTTAAGGGTACCAGAAAGGTTTTAGGTTTTAGGGTTTAGGGTTTAGTTTAGGGATTAGGGATTGGGGTTTAGGGCTTAGGGCTTTAGGGGTTTAGGGCTTAGGGTTTTAGGGTTTAAGGTGTGGTGTATGAGGGTCCATGTACCCATGTATTATATACTGCAGCTTTCATGCACATATTTGAGGGCCCAAGTATATACTCTATGGGCACATGGATCCGTAGGGTTAGTAAGTACAGTTTAGATTTGGTGTTAGGCAACTAGGGTTTAGTAATTGCAGTTGCAGGGTTTAGTTTGTGTTTGGGCTTTGGTTGTGTCTATGCTTGTTGTGTTGTTTATGTTGCCTGGCTTCCTTAGTTGTGGGCTAAAGGTTTCAGGATGTTACATCGGGTTTAGGTGTTTGTAGGGCTTGGTGTTATGTGTGTCAGGCTCTCAAGGTTTCGAGATGAAAGGTGTATGGTTTGGGGTTTGCCTGTGGGCATTTCTCCTTTGGGCCCGTAGGGTCCGTGGACAAACATCCTGCAAGAGCCGAAGTGCTTGTAACTATGGAACATGTCTGGTTACATTCCTCGTAATTGTGACATGGGCTTCCTTAAGGGTTTTGCCCGTAAACATCCTGACCCCTTCAAAGGTGGGCCGTGCAGTGTTGAGGGGTCCTGGATGCATCAAGGCTTCGGCTATTGAGCTTAAACTCCAAGCCTTAAACTACAGCTTCATGTAAACCCTAAACCCGATTTAACCCTAAATCCTAGACCCTAAATCCTGAACCCTAAACCCTAAGCCTTAAACCCTAAACCCTCAACCCAAAGCCGTAAACCCTAAACCCTAAGCTCTAAACCCTAAACCCTAAATCCTAAAACCCTGAACCCTAAGCTCTAAACCCTAAACCCTAAATCCTAAAACCCTGAAGCCCCAAACCCGAGCACCAAAGGAGCCCTGTAGTGCGGACTTCGTGAGCACATCGCGTTCGCAGCGACCGGGCTTCCACAGCTCCAGGTTTTGTAGTAGGGTTTAGGGGTTTAGGGGTTTAGGGTTTAGGGGTTTAGGGTTTAGGGTTTAGGGGTTTAGGGTTTAGGGTTAGGTTTCGGCGTTGAATCTAAGGTAATTACAGCTTTGGTTCAAGAACTGGTTTAGTACGTAGTCAAGCCGAAACTCCACCATGAATCCTAAACTACGGTTGGCCCTGAACCCTGAAGAAGGTTCTCCAAACCGCACAGACGCATGGATCCCACTTTTTGGGATTGGGGTATAAGGCTCCAATCTCGGCCTCCTCTTGGACCTGAAACACTAGACCCTAGAACCCCTGCCGCCAACCATACAGCCTGTAATCACTTCGCATATCACTTTGTGGGTTTAGGGTTTAGGGTTGCATAGAATTCTATTGGTTTTCAGAAGTTTGGTTATGCTATTTTATCGGTTTGCTTCTACCCAGGTGGCCAGCAACCGACGGCCGGCGCTTGGCCTTGGCGACGTGGCATCGACAAATTTCCACATTAAGTGTTTGTTGCATGCGCTTTTGTACGGCTGTACCAAGGGTTTTTATAGATCGTGAAGGGTTTTGAAAAGGTTTTTGGCATGGTTGTGTACGTTGTTCTTTGTCAGGTTGCTTATGAAGTTATCTGTCGGCAGTAAGTTCACGGTTTTGAGACTCCCGACTTTGAATCGTTGTTGATGCTTGTACGGGCTAGGATAGGGATCTTGAGTGAAGTGCTACTGCTGCCACACCACCACCGCTATCACCGGCACTGCTGCTCCTGGTTTTTGCCGCCGCTGTTGCCAGGGTCACCAGCTTTCTGTCAAGAGTAGTGTATCGAGTGCACATGGCATTTGGCGATGCTGTTTAGGGTGTAGAGAGTTAAGGAAGCATCTTGAGTGATATTCCTTCAAGCCGCCAAGCTCAGCTACATCCGGAGCCCTCCACGGCTTCCGTGTCCAAGGTCGCGCACTCTGCCGCAGGGTGGATCTCTCGCCTGCTCCTGTGATGCAAGCATCGATACATTCCAGCGTCTCTCCGTCCCGAGAATCAATGGTTGCAGGGGATGTGTTTTCTGCAGGTTTCTGGATGAATTGAGGCCTGAACCCGTGACCGGTAGTCTGCTACCTCTAAACTTCGCCCAGCAACAGTATCTGTAAGGGGCTTCCGTGCACCAGCACCTGAGGTGCGTAACATCTTGACAGGTAAAAGCATTGAACTACATAGCCTTGGAGCTTCATGGGTACTTATAAGCAGACCCTAACCCCAAAACCCTAAACCGTACGCCCTGAACCCTAAAGGTTCACAAGCAAGGTAGCTGCAATAATCACATACTACCGAAGCTTTAAAGTTCGCAGTGCTGGCCTGTGCACGGTTTAGGGTTTAGCATTTAGGGTTTAGGGCCCTAACCTCTCACCTTATCATGAACTACCTAGGGTCAAGCCATAATGCTCGTGGCGAAGCAGCCGATAAGCTGTACTGTTTACGTCTTTGCCTCTTTGGTTAGGGTCAGCCGCAAGGGTTGTTTATACCGTTTAGGGTGCTAGGCCTTTTTTTTGCAATTACATGTTTTTCGGGGGTCCAAGTACCTAGTAAGTATATGCGCCCTACTCCTAACCTAACCTACATGAGCCTAAGCACCCCAAGACCCTAAACCCGCGACTTACTCTTCGGATCCTGTGGACGCTTTGGGTAAGGTTCGGAGTTTAGGGTTCCGGCCGGGGAGATTTCGAGTCAAGCCCAACTTCAAGAGTTTCGGGTTTGGGGTTTGGGGGTTTCGGGTAGCCTAAACCCTCAACCCTAAGCCCTACAGATTTAGGGTTTAGGGGGTTAGGGCCGTAGATGTAGTTTAGGGTTTGGAGCATAGGTTCCAGGTTTAGGGTATGCGACTTAGGGTTTGTAATAGGGTTTATGAGATGTAGCAAGTAGTACTCATGAGGTTTAGGGTTTAGGGGCTTATTTAGGGGTTATCATACATAGGTTTGTATGCACGATACGCCCAGACAGTGTATCTGCATATTCCACCTACCATCCTGAGTTCTCAGCCAGCGGCTCGCTTCTCTGGTCAGATACCGTGCTGGGGGTCCCAGTTTCGCCAAGGCTTCGTTTCGGATGTGAGCTGCGTAGTTGTACTTGGAGGGTCGGGGGACTTAGTAAATGGTTACTTTATAGACTTATAAGTACTATAACCCCAATTAGGGTCCCTTTTGGGGTACTTATAAGTCTACTTCTTACCTACTTACTAAGTCTCCCGACCCTCCAAGTAGGGATCGCATGGACAACTCGATGGGGTTTGGCGTGCAGGGTTGAGGATTTAAGGGTTCGTATCGCAAGGGAACATTGCATCATGATTTTCCAGAGAGGTGCAAGACAGATGGGGGCGGCTTGCCGCAGGCAGACAATGCTGAAAAAAGCCAAAATGTATGCTGCCGACGAAGATTGCTGCGACAACGAAGCCCGGATCTCGAAATGAATACCTGACGATGCCGTTTAATACAACACGTACTACCAGGATCAGAACGAGGATCACATCGATGGCGAACACGAAGCCCGGATCTTGAAGTGTGTGCATGACGATGCCATTTAGTACAACACGTACTCCCAGGTCAGGACGAGGATCACTTCGAAACAGCGAAGCCCGCAGAGAGTGAGTCCTCTCACAAGTACGCTATAAATGCTGAAGGCGATCTATATACACCCTATGTTCTGCGGATCCTAGCAGAGATCTGACTTCAGGATAAGCAACCCTGGAAATGCTCAGCAAAAGCCGATAAACCCGTATTGTTTAAAGACGACCTGACTTCAGATTCCTTCAA